GGCAGGTATACAACGTCGCTGCCGATTCTCCTTGCCTGCCGCCTCTCCCTCTTTCTTTCGTTCGGGGTATTCAAGCGGAGGCTTAACCTTTCGGCTAAACCGAAAGCCACCAGGCAGAAATGTCAGAAAAAAGGTTACTGCATGGCACCACGCGGGCGTGTTTGCTGCTTGCCTGTTCTTCGGCGCTCGATTATGCTCGCCGTGGCACTGCTTGTGTTCGTTCCACCGCGCGGATGGAACAGTTGAACGCGTGAGAATTCGTCGACTATTCGGCCTCGTTCAATGAGATGCCCGAGTGTGCAGCGAGTCAGAACACGACACGGCAATACTCAACGTTCGAAATCTTCTCTCAACTGTGCTTGCATGTCGGAGAACGGTAGTAGACGATGTTGCACGAGAAATCGCGCGAATTTATTTTTCTTCGATAGCCATCTGGATAACCACCGGGAAGCGGCGGGGAAAATGTGCTGATTTAGATCGCGGATCCCAACGACGCGGTGTAATCTAATCGCGCGATTGCGATTACGTACGCCACGGCCTCGAGTGCCCGCTCCTACAGTGCGTAGAAAATATGTTTCCTTCGCAAGAAACGTCTCTCTCGATTCAGTTGCCGCAAATTAAAACAATCCCTGGAACAGATCGACGTTTTACGTTGGTAACGATCGCGAAGCCGTTGAAAGCACGTTCTTCGAAAAGAAGAAAAACTCGAACGCTTTGATCGAAGAATTACGTGACTGCCCACAGCTTAGCTATCGATAGCTCTTTTATGCTGGCGGTTTCGCTTTCCGTTGCGAGTTCGATGCTCGAAGAGATTAACGATCACGTCTGTGAATATGTGCGTGTCATTCTACGCAAATGGACTTAAAAAAAAAACAATTATAACATTTCAGAGGAAAAAGAACAGTGGTTCTCTCATATTGAAATTGTCCTCCAAAACTTCAAGAAACGAACTTTAATATCCGATGTGCACTACGTGCACTAATGTACCATTACTGACGATCCAAATTACACGTATTTCTTGGTAAAAATGTTGCTCAGATGTGGGACACGATTGATCCACACTACTGATCTCACTTTAGCCTCCAATTGTTTTAATAAGCAATGCTTCATTCTTTAAGTTGCAAAAGCTCTTTAAGCGGAACTCGTCGAATTGGCTAGATGTCACTGCGATCACGGTATGATTCCGAACCGAGCTCTTCGAATCGTACCTTACTCCCTTTCTTTTCGCCGTTGCACAAGCAAAACTCGTTTGATTCTACACCTGAGGTTGCAGACGGAGGCAAGACCGCGACCTCGACAGGGTAGCCGACGAGTACGCCAGGTATCGCTTAACACCGGTTACCTGTCGGTTGTGTCTCCGCTCTTTGCCACGTCGGATGACACCGCGTAAGGGTATAGCCGAGGAAGAAAAAGAAGAAGTGTATCGTATTATCGCGAACCGAGAAC